GAGAGAGAGAGAGAGAGAGAGAGAGAGAGAGAGAGAGAGAGAGAGAGAGAGAATTGGCTTCTGCATTCCACAAGGAAAATGAAAAAACAGAGAACGAAGCAATATTTGCGGTTCGCGATTCTCGAAACAATTTCGCTTTATTTGCTCTCGATCGATTTTAATGATAAATTCTGATAAACGTATTTGGCTATTTTCCAAGCCAAATTTATCTATATACATATAGTTTAACTTGTCGCCCTATAATTTTGTTAATATCTTTAATATCTTTCGATTAATTATATATACAATTATACATTAATTAATTTACAATTTTTACGATAATAGTTTAAATATTTTATTCGTTTATTCCAAATGGCAGATATCTAAGTCATTTACGTACATATTTTATTTAAGCGTTTATTTAATTATTATACAACGATCACTTTTCATTACTGTCAAGAATAATTATTTCATTTAATTTTTTAGGATGCAAGAATTTAAGAATTAAGAACGTTATTATTACACGAGAGGGTATATAAATATACCTTGTTCCCTCGCGAAAACGCAACGGACCATCTTTGGAAACCGCATACGAGCTCCTTGCTGGTTACGTCTCTTTCGGGATCCCGTACCACGCTTCTTGTGACGACGAAGGAGAAGACCCGCGTGCCACTGCTGTCAGGCAGCTGCGCGAATCTGTACAGCAAAGCCATCACCGCATCTCGAGGGCACAGCTAAACCGATGGTCCACGATTATTCCTCTACGTCCCTAAATATTCTCCTTCACCGCTGTTCTGCAACAACAGAATTCCATAAATTTATACTTTCTTGTTTTTGATTTAAGTTTAATTAAATTAAATTATAAGATATATATATATATATATATATTTGTATCTTATTGTATCTTATTACTTATATATTAATCTTTGAGTGGTACTGTTATAAGTGATCAAGATAATAGCTCGATTGGAGTTTGAATTAGAGTATTATTATCAGTGAGTGGGATCATTGATTTAACACTCTACTGATCTTTGTCTTATCGATTATTGATCACTGAATATAATCAGAGATTAACTAATTCCTGATTAACCAAAGATTAACTATTAACCAAATAAATAGGTAGTATTGGTTAAACACTAACTTATTATTGATTATTAATTAGACCAATCACCGATTAAATCGTTGATTAATCATTAACTGACGACTTAGTGGTTGATTCAATTATCCAAAGTTATTCCAAGTTTAAAACGGATATTATCATTTAAAAAGAATATTTGAGCTTTACAATTACCATTCTTTCCGTATTTGACAACGATAGGGGACAAATATTCACATCTGATAATACCAAGTTCCTTGACAAAGCAAAGGGAACAGAGAAAAAGTTATGCGCGTAAATCCTCTTTGGTTATTCGAATGTAATCCCTCGTCGTGCGTGACAATTAATACCACAAGGAGCTTTAAGCGCCATATTATTTTAGAGTTGAAATCGGATTAAAATTGTTCTCTTCATCTAGTCTCAAAGGAACTCAAAAATTCTGAAAGGCAAATTTTCTCTTTTTCCCTTTCCCTCTCGCTAAAGTCCATTTCCAAAATCGTGCGTTTCATTCAAGTTGATGAATTAATGATCGATTTGAAGTGATATTTAGAGAAAATTGCGTATCTTTCGCTGAACTTGTGAAATTGAAAAAAGAATTATTACCAAACATGATACCGTTTCCTTAAGTCGATACAATTCTGAAAAACAAGTATTATTTTATTAGATAAAACGCATATTTTTAACTTTTTGAAATTGTAAAAAAAAAAGAATTATTACCAAACACGATACTATTTCTTTAAATCGATACAATTATGAAAAACGACAGGTACTATTTACGTTTAGATCGAATGGAAAATTAATTAATTGTAATTGAATGAATTCGTAATAAATTTCTTGTTATCTTTTTATTTTAGAATACGCGGCCAATGTGACACGGATGGAAAAAGTACGTTCGAAAAAAAATATTTTTTTTCAAATAGAAACAAAGGAAGGAAAGTTCTTTATTTCATAATACAGCTTGAAGCGTGCCGTATCTCAAAATGCATTTTCAGCCAATCAAAATCGGCCGATATCTACGTGACACGATTAATTTCGTTCGCTTTAATTCGCTTTAATTTTTCGTGAAAAAATGAAAATGCGACAGTGATAGATTCTCCATTCAAATTCCCGGTCCAGACAGATTCAAAATTCGCGATGGACAAATCTACATTATCATTGGTATCACGTGTACACTATTATATAGGTTAATCTTGATCCAAATGGATGAAAATTCTCATCAATTTATCCTCCCTTCCAGATCGGAAATCCCAGGTTGGGGTTGAAGGAGGAGGAGGGCCCGTTGTTCTTCAGGGACGGTATAGTTTATCGAGAATGGGGCTACATCTTCGCGAGGCTCGAGAAATTCCATCTTGCGGAGTTATATTTCGACAAGGCGATCAAACAGACCCAGGTCAACGATCTGAGAACGTATCTTGGGCTTGTCAAGGCACAGCTCGCCTACGCAAGGTTCAAAAGGGCGCTCAAGACCGAGGAAAAATGCGTGGAGCTAGGTTAACCTTCAACTGCTAACATATGCCTTTTTTTAAACGAAATTGGACGTCTTTCTATGAAAAGAATTTTTTCCTAGATTTCAAAATATTTTCTTATTCAGAATTATTCTCGAAATTTCGTATTCGAGACTCGGCTTTATCAGATATAAAAATTGACTCGTTGACGCGAAAATGAGAAATTTACGAAGTTTGGAAGTTTGGTGTCGAGAGAATCATCAATTTCCTTTTTACAGTTGATTCCTCCAATTCCTCCAATTTATAATATCTAATCGCGAGGAATTATTGTATAATACGATAATTTTTAATAATTTCGAACCTCTTCTTCTTCTTCTTCTTCTATTAATAATCGTATTTTTGAGTTAATTATATAATTAATTATATTTAATTTTTAATTAATTTTTAATTATATTTTTGAGTTAATAATATATAATATATTTATCTACGAATCAACTTTCCATGAATGAAATTGAAGTTTCGATTTTTATCAATTATTCTTCGTTTCCAGATCCATCTTATTCACACGTGAAGCACATACAGTTGCAAACCCTGTTTGCCATCGGTGAGTTCGAATACAGCTTGATACACGCTCACCAAGGCTTTCAGAAACATCCGACCACGGATTTGGAGCACGGCATACTGCAAGGGAACGAGACCATCGAGGACTGCATCGGCATAGACACCTCGCCGATAACTCTTCAACTTCTTTACCCGTGGATACGCGAGCTCCAAGAGTATCGCAAGTATTTGGTGGAGAAGCTGAAGGAGGAGGTGGACGAGCTCGCAGGTACCGCATTTCAATATAAAATATGAAAACTTTTTTTTTCAATCAGGGTTTAAAGAATTTCCAAATGTTATGAGATTAATATTTGGACTTAAAATTAATATATACATTGAAATTAAAAATAAAATTATTAAATAAAAAAATCGATCTATATAATATATTCTTAAATCTATATAACTAATTCTATAAATAATAATTATTGAAAAAAATTATCCTAACTAAAAATACAAATATTAACGACTTATAATCAATTAAAATAAAAAAATTAAATTTTATTGAATTTATTGAATAAATTAATCATTCAAAAATAATTAATTTATTTAAAAATATAAAATATAATCTTAATTAACCATTACTAATAAACTAAATTTAAATAATAAAATTCCACAAATTAATATTTTTATAATAATTTAAAATAAAAATATTTATATCATTGATTTCACAAATCGATATTTTTTATTAAACTATTTAAATAAATAAAATGTAATTTTAAAAATATAAAATTTAATGGAATTCAATGTATTAATAAAATATAATATTCAACTATTGAACCATTATTAATTTTAAATTTAATATAAATTTTTCCATGATTAATAACTATAAATAAATAAATTGAATAAATAAATCTAAATAAACAATATAATATTAAAATAATAAATAAATATTTTATTCAAAAAATTAATCCAATTATTAATATAACTTCTTTAACTAAATTGATACTGGTGATCCTATATTTAATGAACATAATATAAATCACATTAAAGATGCTGAAGGTATAAAATTAATTATTCCTTTATTAATAAATACTAATCGTCTATTAGTTTGTTTATAAATTATATTAACTAAAAAAAATAATCCTGAAGATCTTAAACCATGAGAAATTATCATTATATATCTTCCAATCAATCTTAATTTTAAAAATGTTAATATTCTTATAATTATTAAACCTATATAAACAATTGATGAAATAGCAATAATTGATTTTATATCATATTGCATCAAACATATTAATCTTAAAAATAAAACTCCAAATAAATTAATTACAATTAAAATTTTTCTAAAATAAATAAATTCAATTTTTATAATTATTATTAAACGTAATATTCCATACCCTCCTAATTTTAATATAATTGATGCTAAAATTATTGAACCATAATAAGGAGCTTCAACATGACTTTTTAATAATCATCCATGAAATATATAAATTGGAATTTTAACTAAAAATGATATTAATAAATATATAAATATTATAAAATTTATATTAAAATTCAATATTTCTATTAATAAAAAATTTAATCTATAATTTATTCTATATATATAATAAATAATATATAGTATTGGTAATTAATCTGTTGTAGATTGTTCCTCTAGAGTATCGATTCTGAAAGATTGACTTTCTGAAAAAAAAAAAAAAAAAAAAAAAAAAA